GGATAAGGCTCTTTACCTCAATTATAAAAAAAAATCGGCTTATCAGAAGAAGATCGCGCGAAAGAATTGGAAAACGATTATCCACAGTTCAGCGAATGGAAGCTATGCCAAGACTTAAACCTTATCGAGTTATAATATATATATTTCTGTTACATTAAATAAATTTGATAACAAAAATCGCACCCGTTTACTTTACCCCAAATGTTCACACCAAATGTGGTATTTTTTAGCAATGACTAAAAAACATGTTTAAAACTTGACTTCGGTCAACTCCCCCGTTAAAAGTTTTAAGCTAAAAAGAAACAGGGTGATATCCTCTTAAAACTAAATTTATAGAAGTTGACACAGTTGTCAAAGGGATATGAAATGACGAGAGAATCGAAACAGTCTCATTAAAACTCGATCAGACTCCACAACGGGTCATATGATCCCAGAAATATGCTGGAAGGAGCGCTTGCATAAAGTGTTAAGCCATTGTATCATTTACTTTAGACCTTCAGTAAAGTTTTGGTTGATTGTAAAGAAAATTAATTATTCACAGGTAACTTTAAATCGGTTTGAAGCCAAAAGATATGAATAATGTTCTGGAACTCACCAATTTAAAAATATGTCCTATTTACGTCAAATCGAAGGTATCTATTCAAAACAAAATAAGTAGAGATGCGCGGACTATGAAAAAACCTAAACTAAAGATAGCTTAGTGGAACAAGTTGATTACTCAAGTCTCTAGAACGGGTGTTCCGAAAAATTTTATCAATATCAAAGAAATTATCTGTTATTTATTTATACAAGCAAAATATGAAATTTCGCTAACATCTATCTATAGCGGACTACTTCCCTTTATTTTTTCATATATTAAATATTATTTTCTGAAAACCTGTTAAAAAGATATAACCTATTTTGTGCGTACCGATTTTGAGTGAACAATGCTTTATAAACAATTTGTTTTATTTTATTGACAAAATAAATGTGATGTAAGTAATGTAAGTAAAACAAAACTATAATCGAAATAAAAGCCTAGGGCATCAGTGCTGATAAGATACATGCATCACTAAGGGTTAATTCGTTTGTTTATACTTTTTGACATTATAGTACCTTAAAAGAGAGCCGCACTGAGTTGTCTATCACACCTTGTTTGATACACCTTGCATGCTTGTAAGCCTATACAATGATATTAAATATGAAATAAAAGAATGTCAAAAATTAATTTAAATAAAATTTTGGTATTGTTTATTTTTCGAAATCGCTTCTAATTCTTTTCTTTTATATTCAACAGTTTTTGTTTTATTTGGTTTTTTGCTCTTATGTCTGCGAATTTCTTCGAGCTCTTTTTTCAGCTCGTAAACCTTTTCAGTGGCTAACGATCTATTTGGCAAATTTTGTCTAAAATGGCAAATTTGAATTTATTGAAGTTGTACGATTTATTCGGTTGTAAGAACGACAGTCTTAGCGTGAGGGATCTCATTTCTGTCCTGAAGGACATCCATTAAAACTTAGGCAATGTGTACAAAGTGTTGACGGTAATGTTTCAAGGTTAGTTTTTACTTTTTAAAGATCGAATTTGTACAAGTTAAGCTCTACCCAGAATTGCACGACGGTAAAGCGGTCAACGGTTAACCGCTGTCAAATTTAAAACTCACAAAGGCGTATGGAATGGCGCATTATTGCGGCGGCAGCGGTTTTACCGCCGACGTTTTTCGGTTGATTTAAATTTATTTATATTTTTACCGCCCAGCGGGGACGGCACCATGTTGAGTGAGTGTTGATTGTAGTAATTTTTATTATTTTCGCAAGTTTGGATATGTTTTCATCCGTTTTTATTTCCAGAAAATTTATACATATGCACGTATCGAAACAATATTTAATTTTAATGATAATTTTCAAATCAAAATGACAACTGTCGTGCGCCGCAACTGTTCTCTTAAAGGGGAAATACACGACACCAGCTTGCTGACACCATCAAGTGATTGTACTATTAAGCTCGACGCATGTAACATACCAGCATGCTGGTACAATCTTTATTTCTTTACAAATTAGGTCCCGAAAAGATCGAAATGAGTAGAGCCGAAATTTCATAATTTTTCTACCATTTTGTAATTTTCTAATTACTTGCATATGCTTTCTATTCTTTATCTTTATAGGCATATGATTGTCTAAGAGATGAGGGGTATATCCATTTTCGATTCAACCACTCCCTCCACGTTGAAGACCCGGACTTTCAGCAGCATACGAACACGATTGAAGGGTTGTGGCGTCACGTAAAATCCTCGATGCCTTAATATCATCGCAAAAAGCCATTTCTTTAATGGGTATTTGGCTAAATACATCTTTAGCCGAAATTGTAAAAATTTTCACACGGATCCATTATACACCCTTTTAAAAATTTCAAGGAATTTGTGAAATTAAACCTGCTGAA